TTCTCAGAATTCTGAGATTAAAGTCAGAATTTCGAGAAAAAAGTCAGAATTTCGAGAAAAAACTCAGAATTCTGACTTTTTTCTCAGAATTCTGAGATTAAAGTCAGAATTTCGAGAAAAAAGTCAGAATTTCGAGAAAAAACTCAGAATTCTGACTTTTTTCTCAGAATTCTGAGATTAAAGTCAGAATTTCGAGAAAAAACTCAGAATTCTGACTTTGATCTCAGAATTCAGACTATTTTCTCAGAATTCTGAGATTAAAGTCAGAATTTCGAGAAAAAACTCAGAATTCTGACTTTGATCTCAGAATTCTGACTATTTTCTCAGAATTCTGAGATTAAAGTCAGAATTCTGACTTTTTTCCCATACTAAACTGAAATAAAATTTAAAAATCAGTTAACTTTTTTTTCAGTGGCCTTAATCCTCTCCGTAGAAAAGGGATTTAGGTGTATTCATTTAGAAAGTAACATTGATTTTTCTTCCCCTGTGATTTACTTTGACATTCGCCACTAAAACATAGATTCCCTTTTATGCCTTTTTACAGATTTTCTGTTAGGATAAATAAGATGTAACTACAGGGTCAGACAGCAGTTTAATTCAGAGATTATAATCAAAACAGTTTGATCCTTTTGATTTATTCATGAAATAAATATAAAGATAATAAAAAGACATGTTGAGCCATCCTTGTTTGTATTCCTAATATACTGAAGTCTCTGAAGCTGCTGCTTTGTATTTTCCCTAAGCAGGTAACCCAGTAACAACCCTCCCAGCATGTGTGTGTTTGTGCATCACCTGGAGGGCGTCATAGTACATCTTCTTTCCTTCCTCGTCAGTTTTGTCGGACATAATCCAGGCTTTTAGCAGATACTCATAGAAACTGTCGCCGAGGCCACCCACCGACACGTGATCTGAAAAGAAGATAAGCAGAGGGGCATAAATCCCAACTGCAGCACATCTGCTGGGTCGCCGTACAAACACAGACACGGTATTTGTGTGGAGGTCGTTAGCGCAGGGAGCCCTGCCGGGCGGCCGAGCTTTATTTTAGTTTTAGCCCTGCTGACAGTCGGCGAAGCCTCATCCATATGCATGTGTCATTAACGCGGTCCGGCCGTGTTTGTGAAGAGCAGAGATTAAATGTCAGCTGTGATCATTCTGAAGCGACGAGAAGGGAGGACGGTGATGAGGGGGGTTTGGTTTCCAGCCAATAAATCTACCTGCTCTTCTACGACTTCAACTTTAGAGAGGAAGAGAAGCAGGAGGGGGAACCTTTGAAACGCCTGAATAAGACGCTTATGCTGAAAAATCAACATTTTTATCCCCATAAAATAAGGTCATAGCCATCTGGATGAGTCTGCAACCTACAGGCTAAAAAGAAGAGCCGGTCATATATGAATAATAAAAATCAGGAAGCAGATTTAAAATCTAGTGTTTCAGAAAACATCTTTGCTGCAAACATTCATGGTTTATGATTTATTCAACAAAAGCAGCCCAACTGCTATCATATGCTTAGATGCACTCATCTTTTCTTTACTTTATCTCAACAGAAATTCTACTCTTATATAAAATGTCATAAAACACTAACTGCAATATACTGTTATTACTTCTGTTTAACAGTGTAACATAAATATGAACAATTATAACTGTTCATGTGTTTAAATGGTTGTTTCACTGAGCATTTCGGATCCATGTTTATCCATCTGAGACAGCCGCAGCCCTTCAATAAAATGCTTTGCAGTAAAATAATACCTGACAGAGCTTCAATAAAGGCTGAAAGCATATCCGCCGATATAAAAACAAGATCAAACGAGGCCGTAGGATTTCTAATTTCATGTCATATTCTTCCCGTAAAAAGCAAAGTTTTTATCTTTTCACGGAGAGCAGTAAAAGTTAAGAACAAAATCATTGAATCAAATACTTAAAAACTTTTCAGGAAATACGATCTGGATTGTAAGGCATCTCCTCTAGATATGGAGGTAGATGTTTGTATGTTTTCTTCCCTCTGACTAAGTTCTTATCTTAAACATTAACTGTTTAATGTTTTTACTGTTTTACTTCACATCACACTTTTTTTTTGCTTCAAATTTTTTAGATGATGACAGGCTGTTATTTTGTTTAAAGACTCGTCGCCTCCTTTGCTTAGTTTAGATATTTTAATTAACCATAAAAGCTAAATTTAGTTGGACACGCCAAACAAAGGCCTGGCTACCACCTGAACCTATCGTACAGCATGAAGTAGGCACAAATATCTCCAGTTTAAGCGGGCAGAGAACAAATAGGCATTTAGGCTTTGGGACAGTGAGAACCAAGATAACTAAACATATGACTCATGATTCTTTCAGAAAGTCAGAACAACATCATCAACCAGAGTTCATGATTCAGGAAAAAGTCTATAAAGCAATAATCTAATATGACAGCTGCAGTGTTGTGCCTGAACGCGTTCATTGAACGAAAGTTCATGAACTCGTTCATATTTTGGGCGAACGTGAACTGAACGTACTGCATTACTGCCTGATGAACGTTATTGTGAACTCGTTCATTCTGGTGTCTGTGAACGGCACGCTCTCTCAGTTCAGCTCCGTTCAATAGGTTGCCAGATTTCTATAGAGCCATCCAGGCGATATAGCGGCTAAATCACACCATAAACAGGCCTTAATATGTAGCGGGAAAAACACCCAATCTGGCAACACTAGCTACCAGTGTCGTAGCCTACAGCTGCGTGCATCATCAAAACAAAATGCAGTGTGGAAGCCACAGCAGCATGGAGGCGACCGTGGAGGCGACAAAGCAGCAGTATGATCACTTAAAACAGTTTTATGACCAGGTGGTCGGTGAGGATGATGGCAACAATCTTACATTTCTCTGCAAACTTTGCCCGCCGGCTTTCAGTAAAAAAATCCGCACTTCAGTAACCTTAAATTCCTACCTCAGCCTGGTCCCTCAGTTTGTGTTAGTAAAATGTTCTTGAGGGTTTTACCATCCATGTAACTTGTTTGTTAAACCTGCCTGGTATAATTTTCCAGGATTCCAGGATTGCTTTTTAGTATGTACTGAAATGGAATTTCAAATGGAAAAAATTATTAAAATTAAAAAAACATTTGCACCTTAAAGACTACTTTCCTGTTTTTCTTTTAATAATTCCTCATTAAAAAAGACCATTCAAGCAGCACATTTTTCCTGATGTTTTTGAGAATATACTGTAGGGGTGAAAGCTGCAGCTGCTACTAGTGTGAAGTGAATGGACAGCAACAAAGCATTACAGCAACAATGGGGAAATGCTGTCCCCTCAATGCTAATGTAAACCCTGGTTGGATAAGGATTCAAAACTGGATATGAAGATGAAATCTGACGCACAGTTTCAGTGTTACAACTGATAAAATAATGGCTGTCTGTGGTTCTACAGTAGGCTATGCTGTAATTGAGCAATATATGAAAAAAAAAAGAACTATGAACTAGTTCATTTTTTGGAACTGTGAACTTAGATCAACATTTTGAATTATGAACTATGAACTGAACTAGTTCATTTTAAAATGTGTGAACTGAACTTTGAACTAGTTCACGTAGAAAGAGAACTTTCCCAACACTGGATAGCTGTTGCGTAACGGCTTTAGGACCTTGATGATCTTCCACAGTTAAAGGAACCAGATTCCTGCTGTCAACTTAAAAAAATTCCAGAAGGAAAAATGTCTGCATATCAGTTTAGAACCTAAAGCTCAGCAGGAAAATCTTTCAAAGCACCAAAAAAAAAAATTTCTCAGAATAAACAAAAAAAGAGAAGGTTTTAGAGTGGTCTAGTAAAATCTGGTCTGAAATCTTGATTGAGATTCTGTGATAGAATCTTTGATCGACAATTCATGATCAAAACCCCTAAAAAAATAACTGAATTAAAGTGATTGATAACCAGTTGAAAGAAAACCTTGACAGCAATGGTTACTTCCAAGGTTAATAAAGAGAACACAAAACACACTTTCTAGCTTTAGAGAAAAATGATTTTTCCCTCAATTAAAAAGTTCATTATTTAAAAAAAGCCTCTCTTGTAATTTATTCAGTTTATCTTCGTCTGATATGAAAATTTTTTTTGATGATCTGATGTGAAACATTTAAGCGTGAACAAAGTAAAACCAGGAGGAGGCCATCATGGCAGCCTTTATCTGAGATCTACTATTCTTTGTTCTACACCCGTCCATCCTCCTCTCGTCCCAACATCCGACCCCTCCATCATTATCATCATTACCTGTTTAGCTCCGTGGTTTTAAGAGCCGACTAATGGATTTAAAATTACACGCTATCGGGAACATAAAAGCATCTCAACGGACACGTGAGCACGCAGCACTGAGTGTGAAAATACTTAACCGTGACATGGGTAAAGAGTCGGCAGCGGTAATGGGAAGTTACCCAACAAGGTTCAAATGGTTTGTGTGATGAGACGTTTTCATAAATTGAGACAATGAAGAAAAAGCGAGCGTGGTATTACAGCAAAAAGCTGCCTCTTATGTTAAATAATGTTAATGTATCTGTGAACTTATGTAGGGATGATTCTGCTACAAATATTCTCAATGTATAACAGTATGGGCATCAGTAAGCCTGGACTAGTGAACTACAATCACAGTTTCATATTAAATATTCTTTATATTTCCAGTTTAAAAGCTTATTTCTACAGGATCATCATTCTAATAAGCTACAAAAAAGCAAACTCAGTATATGAATGATTAAAAGATTAGAGTTTTAAATCTTGGCCTTACAAAGCAGCACATATACGACCTTTAAAATATTAAATTATTTATGCAGGAGAGCTGTTCTCCCAGAAAAATGAAGCTGTAATTACAAGCTTTAACGTTTTCAGTCTGATCTTTAGACAGTTTAATGATCACAGCAGGAGGCTGAACGTATATAAACTCTCCTAAGATGAACTGGTACAATTACAGGTAAAAAGATATGCTTTGAAATATATATGTACATATGAAATATGTACTGGCCTGACGCAGAGAAGAGGCAATTTGCATGAATTAGTGTTAAGGTTCACATGTTCAATCCTCAGTTAAGTTTATTAAGTGATAAATCAGGATTTCTAATGAAAGTCCACAGATCAGGAGTCAGTTTCACCAGGGTTTATACAGGGATGAATAACTTTAATTTAATGCTTTTTTTAAATGCTTTTAAAATGTTTT